CGTACTTTCTTTACGTTTTGATTCGAAGAGTTGATCCAGATCTGCAGTTCATGCCAGTCAGTTTCGATGAGCGCTTAGGCTTTCAGGTCACGGAGGCAGCAGCATCATCAGTCCGTATCTTTAAAGCGTTTTCAGACCCTATGCCACAGTTCGAGTTTCGGCAGAAGATAACCCTAGTCTGGAAAAGTGTTTTTCGATACACTTGCTCCAGGTTAATCTTGACCATTCCTGGAGTTTTATGTCGATCCGTTGGACGAGTTATACCTGTTTAGCTTTCTTTTCTGGAAGGATCCGCAAAATGTGAAAATGTGCCCAGCAAATGTAAGTTCTCAATATGGAAGAGCAGTGGCTATGCACGAGTCTGCAGCTCACTCATTTTCTTAAACGGTTTATCATATAAATAAAACCATATCTGTCAAACATTTTACGGTTCATAGTAGGAGGTTAACAGCAGCTGTAGAAAATATACTACCGCTCTGCACCTAGTTCCGGTATCGTAATTCTTGCGTTGGTCGATGTTTTATCCTCCGTGAATGCTGAGATCAAATTTCTCGTAAATGATCGCTAAACGAATTCTTTTATTCCTATCTAAGGAACCACGTTTCAGATTTTCAAAATTAGCTCAGGTGTTAAAATGTTGACTATTCGTCCGTGGGTTTCGGCAACTGTTGCATATTACCATGAATTTTTCAATGTAAATCATTTTTTTGTATGAGCTAATCATAAAATGGTCGTTCTATGCGGGTAGAATTGAAGCCTGACCTCGTTATATACCCGAAGTATACCTTCGATTGTCGAATTTGAGTTGTCCTATTATTTAAACCTTAGTGCTTTATTGCAGTCAAGCTTTACTTTAAAAAAAAGTGAATTGTGGTTTATTGTTGTGTTTTTGTTGTTTGTTCTTCAATCACCGTGATTATTTAGTTGTGCTTCGAGGGTTCGATCGACGAAAGCAAATATTCTGGTCATTTGTTTGGTCTGGGAGCCCCCGTCGGCATGAACTATGGCAGTGCCTTCGATTCAACGTTCTTTGGCAACAATTTTTTGGAAGACAACATCAGGAACGCAGCCATTGGCTACCAGCAGCAGTCGACTAATATCAGCAACGGAGGAAGCGGTAACACGGCCGACATCACGAACGCAGACGCCGTCACGGACAGCGGTGAGGCAAACGACAACAACGTCGTACAAGGTGACGATGACGCGACGAGCACGTTGAGTAGCAGCAACAGTCG